GCTGACTTGAGAAGCCCGCAAGATACTTGAAGTGGTATACCCAGCCGGGCTCCCGAACAAAGTAGCCTCGTACCCAGACTTAGACCCCAATGGCGCCCTACGGCTCTCCTGGTGGCAACACCTGTCTAGTATTCAGGAGATCCGGAGTACGGCCCACTGCGGTGCCTATACTCTACTTTTCAGTCCGCACTGACAAGCCAAGGATTCTCCCCCCACACGAGTGGATTGTCATACGGGACATACGGGGAAGAATATTGGTTCCCAGTTTTCATATGAAAAAACGTTACAGAGACATATCTAAAGCTCCAACCCGTACCTGTTATAAGGGATTGGACCCTGGGCCCGGAATGTCACAGTTGCCTCCACCTTGGGATGACATAACAGACGGGATCCCGAACCCGGGGATTGCAGGAGACCCTATCTTAGTTAATTCGGACCGCTGGAGGTGCTTGGGATCGAGGGATCTTAGGTCTTTGAAGCCCGCACGAGACTACGCTTGAAGGTATAGCCATTAGTTACTTTGAATTAGACGCGGTCCTCAGGGAACTTCCAGGACCGCCGGGCCCATTCCTGGTAAGGTGGGCTCAAGTTTCTCCCTGGCGAGATAAGGACCTGGGGTGTCATTCATTTGGACGATAATACAGCTTGGCTGGCAGGTTTGGATGAATTTAGGACGTTCGGGCATACCAGAACTATCCGAAGAGATCCTTCTAGTTTTTTCCACGAGGACATTTCGTGGGACGGTCTACCCGGACGGGCTGGCTGGATCCTCGGCGAGTTGCCCCCCAGACCAAACGGACAGACGCTATCTGCGTTTTCCTTGTTTGGGTCCCTGGAGTTCGTGTTCAAACGAGGAATATTGACCCCCTCTGCGGCTCAAGGTGTAGAGTCCTGGAGGGCGGATCGGATGCAAAGGGGTACCTCCTACGTTTTCCCCCCTCCGAGTTTCTCATATGATTGGAATAGTTTTAGACCTTAGCCCACGGAGGAGGACCCATTAAGCCCCGTTCAGTTTCAGCCGGCATACAGACGAGTTTGCTCAGTGATGGATGTTTCCCTGCAGGGGTGTTTCGACACTGAGACGCTGACGATGCCCCTCCATTGTTGTTTCCAGGACCTTACTACAAGTGTCTCGGTCTGCTGGTACCTTGGTTTTATGACCTCCGCTTCAGCTGAGTCGAGACTAGTGCCCGGATTCCCTGGACCTGTCCCACTTGTCTCGGGGACCGTAAGACGTTTGCCTGCATGGCAACCCTGACGGAGTTGGGTCTGGTACGGATTAACAGAAATTTCGCAAACACTGTTACAGGGTTCAATTATTGTTTGGTCTTTTTATTGACCGTGGACTGTCGTATCACTTAGATTAGGTGGGGCGTACGACTGTTTTCGGCGGGCCTCGCTCTGTTGGTATCTCCCTTCAAGCTAGACGTACGGGTTCATAGGGGTGTGAGTCCTCTCGATTCCCGAGGACTGGTATTCATTTCCCCAAGGGGTACACGCGTTGTTTGTCATGCCTCAATCGCTGTTTTTCATCGGTTTTGTCCATCTCCGACTCTGGATTTGTTCCCCTTATCATACCCTTTTTTCTTCTTTCAGATGGGTTTGGATGTTCGGACCTTAGTTGCCTATCGGCTTTAGTCGGACCCGAGGGTTTATACTCTTGTGTTGGTTGCGCGCCCCTCTTTTTTATGTTGCGGTCAACACCACCGTTTGTTTAGATGGTTCTTTTCCTTTTCTTCGCCCTTCATGTACCGCCCGGTGGTTGGCGGGGCGTATAGGTCTTTTGGTTCATTTCAGTAGGTACTCGGCGACTTCAGGCGCAGTCATGGAGGGCGTTTTTCTCCAGGACATTGTACACTTTCCTGCCGCTTACGGGAACTATCTTCGCTAAGTTAGGTTGGTACGGAGGATCGCGTTTCTTTGGGCTTAGCTGTCCGAGTGTTAAAACAGCAAATATGAAGCCTCCTGTCATGTTATAAAATTGTAGATTATACTAGCTTTAGTGTAACTATAATCTTAATTTTATTAATGACAGGAGGCGAATATTTCCCTCCCAGTTTCTCCCTTCCCTGGTTTGTTGGTTGGTTTGACTAACTTTTGTTTATTCCTGGTCTCCTGGGCTAGGTTTGTTAATCTGGGGGAGTTGGGGTTTATCTGGGATATGGTACCGTCAGTATGTTATGATGGGGATTCATGTTTTCTCAGTATCTGGCATATTATACTGTCAGTATTGACGATGGTGATTCATGTTTTTCTCAGTACATTTTATTCACTAATCAGTGTTTTCGACTCTGTTTATCTCGTTTCAGTTTAATGGTTCGGCTACAGTTCTTAGATCCGACTACTCTACTATCAGGATTACTGTATGATCCAGCACGTAGAACTGTATAGCCTGAATGACAAGTAACGTATTACCGGTCCTTAGAATGGCCGGATTTAACGTACATAGAATAGTCAAAATACTAGCCGATGTCAGGGAACACAGAAAGGGACGCAACGATGAGGAAAGCCAGGAGTCAGGATACCAGAATACAGAGAAGTCAATAAGCAAATCCAAAGTCAAAAACCAGTAGAAAACTATAAACAGGAACGCACTCTCGGACAACCACATGGGAAACCACGACAGGGCACAGAGTGGAGGTCAGACTAGGTTTTTATATCCATCCTCCCTTTCCCATTGGTCAGCCCGGTAGTTTTGTTCCAAAATGTGCGTGTGCGGTGCGCACGCGTTCACGTGAGCGCTGGCTCTCGCGGTCACGTGCGCGCAGGGTTATTTCTGCCTGTGGATGTATCAGAAAAAAAACGCAGGGAGAACCGTAGGATGCCTACCATTATTGACAAAAAATGGACTGTGCCCAGAGGAGTCATGAACAGCATGGTTTCTAGCGAACTCGGCCCACGGGAGTAGTTCGGACTTGTCCTGTGTGCTAGTAACAAAACAACGCAAATAAACTTCTAATGACTGGTTAGCCCTCTCAGCTGTACCATTGGTCTGTGGATGGTAGGAGGAGGAGAAGGAGAGATCAATCTCCAATTGTTTACTGAACGCCCTCCAGAACCTGGACACAAACTGAGAGCCCCTATCAGACACAATATTGTGAGGGATGCCATGCAAACGCACAATTTCACATATGAAAATTAGGACTAATTCTTGCGAAGATGGCAACTTCTTGAGAGGAATGAAGTGAGCCATCTTAGAAAATCGGTCTACAACCATGAGAATAGTAGTGAACCCAGCAGAGCTAGGAAGCTCAACAATAAAGTCCATGGGCAAGTGGGACCATGGAATCTTAGGAACAGGAAGAGGCTGCAACAGGCCACAAGGAAGTGCATGAGTCACCTTAGAAACTGCACACACAGAACATGCCTGCACATACTCTTTTACATCTTTCCTGAGTGAATCCCACCAAAATGATCTAGTGATCGCGGCAGTGGACTTATTGATGCCCGGGTGTCCAGCAGTTACATTGTCATGGAACACTTTCATGATATTAACCCTTTCACATAGGGGAACGAACAGTTTATCACACGGTTTACCACTGGGCGTCTGAGGCTGGGCCTCCAGTATGGTGCCAAGCAGTGGAGAAGACTGTGAGAGGACAGTAGTAGCAATAATACACTGGCGGAATAATAGGAGATATCACCTGTTCCGGAGCTGATTCATTATCAAATTGCCTGGACAAGGCGTCAGCCTTGGTATTTTTAGAACCAGGTCTATAAGTAATGAGGAAGTTAAAAACGTTAAAGGAACAGTGACCATCTAGGCTGTCTAGAAGACAAACGTTTGGCATCCCCTATATACGCCAGGTTTTTGTGGTCGATTATGATCAACAGGGGGTCCTTGGAACCCTCCAAAAGATGTCGCCATTCCTTGAGGGCAAGAATAATGGCCAACAGTTCTCTATTGCCAATATCGTAGCTGCGCTCAGCAGGAGACAGCTTTCTGGAGAAGTAGCCACAAGGATGCAATGCTGTTCCCTGGCTTTCTCTCTGAGAGAGAACAGCCCCTACCCCTGTCTCGGATGCATCAACCTCCAATATAAAAGGTTTACTGGTGTCGGGATGCTTTAGTATGTCCACAGAGGCAAATCTTTGTTTAAGAGTCTCAAAAGCATTCACAGCTCTTTGGACCATACCGTGCTGCTAACCCCTTTGCGAGTCATATTAGTGATGGGGGCTGTTACAGAAGAAAATCCCTTGATGAATCTTCTGTAATAGTTGGCAAAACCAATAAACCTTTGAATGGCTTTTAAACCAGAGGGTAATGGCCAGTGTAGTACAGCCTCTAGTTTTTTAGGATCCATTTGAAACCCAGATGCAGAGATGTTGTAACCCAAAAAGTGGACTTCAGGCTGGTCAAAAAAGCACTTTTCTAATTTACAATAAAGTTTATTTTTCAACAACGTCTTCAGAACCTGTTTCACATGGGAGTGGTGAGTTTGAAGATCAGGGGAATACACCAAAATATCGTCCAAATAAACCAAGACAAATGAGTAAATTAATTCCCTGAGTACATCATTTATAAAGTCTTGGAATATGGCCGGGGCGTTGCATAACCCAAATGGCATTACCAGATACTCATAGTGTCCACTACGGGTATTAAATGCCGTCTTCCACTCATGATTCTCTTTAATTCTAACCAAATTGTAAGCGCTCCTAAGGTCGAGCTTAGTAAATACTTTAGCTCCCTGTAGTCTATCGAACAATTCAGAAATGAGTGGGATAGGGTATGCCTTTTTTACAGTGATTTTATTAAGTGCCCTGTAGTCTATGCAAGGGCGTAACTCACCACCCTTTTTCGAAACAAAAAAGAATCCTGCACCAGCTGGTGAGGATGACTTTTTTATGTGCCCTTTGTCCAAAGATTCTTTGATGTATTCCTCCATTATTTTACTCTCCTGGGGAGATAAAGCATAAACTGCCCCCTTAGGAGGCATAGCGCCTGGAAACAGGTTAATGGCACAGTCATATGCTCTGTGGGGAGGCAAAACATCGGATTGAGCCTTGTTAAATACCTCCTGAAGTTCTCGGTATTGTATGGGAACTCCAGGAGTTTGGGAGTGGTAGTGGGAAGGTCAATAGTACCCAATCTCTATTACTGGTTTTATACATCTCCCCATACACTTACCCCATTCCAATATTTCCCCATTAGCCCAGTCAATATAGGGATTGTGCTTACTCAGCCACCGGAACCCTAATATGATAGGACATGATGGAGAAGTAATAATCTGAAACGTCATCTCCTCCACATGGGAGGCCCCAATAGAGACCATAATAGGGACAGTTTCGTGGGTTATAAGCGGTTGTGTGAGTGGTCTACCATCAATAGCCTCTACAGCTAGCGGCGTAGGTCTCTCCCTGACTGGTATCCCATTACCCCTAATAAACTGGACATCAATAAAATTTCCAGCAGCACCTGTGTCCATTAGGGCACTGCAAGAAAACTTCTTGTTATCAAGGGAAATAGATACTTCAAGGAGGAATCTACTTTTATTTTTGTTAGAGGATAATTCCATCACACCCAAGACCTGTCCCCTTAAGGTTCTTAGGTGCGGAAGTTTTCCGGACACACTGGGCAATCAGTTATCATATGTCTCTACCGCAATATAGGCATAACCCCTCCTTTCTTCTATACTGTCTTTCGGCCTCCGACAGTCTAGTGACCCCCAACTGCATAGGTTCGGGTTTGGACTGTACAGGGAGCTTAGACAAAACAGGTTTAGAGAATCGGGGTGCTAGGGACATAGCCGTACGTCTGGTCTTGCTTCTGGTGACTTCTCTGAGTCTTAACCTATTATCAATATGCATGACAAACGTAATAAATTCGTTAAGACTCTTTGGTAATTCTTTAGCGGCTATCTCATCTAGTATAGTCTCAGAGACCCTTTTTGAATGCGGAGATTAACCCATTGTTAGTCCAGTCTATCTCGGAAGCTAAGGTACGGAATTCAATAGCATAATCTGAGATAGACCTTGTCTGATGTGCATTAGGGCAGTGGAGGCATCATCCTCTCTACCCAATGGCTCAAACGTGAGCTTGAATTCAGCAGGGAATTCCTGGTAATTATGAGCAATGCTCCAATTACTCTCCCATAACGGATTAGCCCAGGCAAGCACCTTGCCCTTTAATTGATTCATTAGATAACCAATTTTTGCTCTGTCCATGGGGAACAACCCTGGTGAGGCCTCAAAATGCTACTCCACCTGATTAAGAAATCCCCTGCATTCCTGGATATTGCGATCAAAATGTAGGGATGGCGATAAGGAGATGATGGCAGTCCTATTAACAGTGTGTGATGGTACACAGGTTTGAGGTGCTATAGGAGGAGACGCTGCAGATGCGCCGTTCTAGCGTGAAGCGTACTGAAAGCCTGAGCGAATTGATCCATGCGGTGATCATTCTCCTCTAATTTCCTCTCGCAAGCAGCTATGTGCTGACACAGTTCTACAGGATCTATGGTCCTGTTGTAATATCAGGATTTCTGTATGATCCAGCACGTAGAACTGTATAGCCTGAATGACAAATAAGTAACGTATTACCGGTCCTTAGAATGGCCGGATTTAACGTACATAAAATTGTCAAAATACTAGCCGAGGTCAGGGAACACAGAAAGGGACGCAACGATGAGGAAAGCCAGGAGTCAGGATACCAGAATACAGAGAAGTCAATAAGCAAATCCAAAGTCAAAAACCAGTAGAAAACTATAAACAGGAACGCGCTTTCGGACAACCACATGGGAAACCACGACAGGGCACAGAATGGAGGTCAGACTAGGTTTTTATATCCATCCTCCCTTTCCCATTGGTCAGCCCGGTATTTTTGCTCCAAAATGTGCGTGTGCGGTGCGTGTTCACGTGCGCACACGCACACGCGGTTACATGCTCGAGCGCACACGTGACTGCAAGCGCGCACATGAACGCGGGTGCGTGCACGCACGTGAACGCGCGCGCACCGCACACACACATTTTGGAGCCAAAATGTTGGTTATTTCTGCCCGTTGATGTGCAACGGCCAGTGCCAGACTGTATGCTGAGACAGTCAGGACTGCAAGCTTCCGGTCGCTGAGCACCAGGTGAAGGAAAAGTGCCAGATGGATATGTGACATCTACAGGATAAAGGTCAAGGCTTCATCCACTGGTTCCACGTTTCCAATTTCGGATGGCATTCATCGTTATCTTATGTTTCTTTTGTTATTGTATTTGTGGTGTATCGTTCAGGTATTTTATTTTGTCGCAACGTGAAAGAGGAATTAGTTGGTTGGGAGAAGCCTTTTATGGATTCCTGAGTTTTTTGTCTCTGGTGTTTTTCTCTCTATGTTAATTTCATTGTTACATAGCTGAAAAGAGACTTGCGTCCATCAATTTCAGCCTACCTCACATTCGTTTTTTGCTGTTGATCCAAAATTTTGCAACAAGCTAAGAAAGAAATTCCTTCTTGACCCCAGAATGGCAGTCAGATTTGTCCTTGGATCAAGCAGTTATTACCCTACATTGAAAGATTATATCCTTGAATATTCTGTTTTTGCAAGTATGCATCTAGTAGCTGTTTGAACATCTGTATGGATTCTGATAAAACCACTTCTTCAGGCAGAGAATTCCACATCCTGATCGTTCTTACTGTAAAAAAACCTTTCCTTTGCCTTAGACGAAATCTTCTTTCTTCCAGTCTAAACGCATGGCCTCGTGTCCTACGTAAAGTCCGGTTTGTGAATAGATTTCCACACAATGGTTTGTATTGGCCCCGAATATATTTGTATAATGTTATCATATCCCTTCTCAGGCGAAGTTTTTCTAAACTAAATAGGTTTACATTTGTTAACCATTCTTCATAGCTGATATGTTCCATTCCTTTTATTAATTTTGTAGCCCGCCTCTGCACTTTTTTTAGTGCCATAATATCCTTCTTTAGAACAAGTTCCCAAAATGGCACAGCATATTCAATATGGGGTCTTACCAGTGATTTATAAAGAGTCAAAATGATATTCTCATCCCGAGAATGAATGCCCTTTTTCATGCATGACAATACCTTACTGGCCTTGGCCACTGCTGATTGACATTGCACATTGTTGCATAGTTTGTTGTCTATAACAATTCCCAAGTCCTTTTCGTGTGTTGTTATCCCTAATTCGTTTCCATTAAGGGTCTACATTGCTTGTGTATTCTTTGCATTTTTCAACATTAAATTTAATCTGCCATTTGAGTGCCCAGTCCCCCAGTCTATCTAAATCCCTTTGCAGCAAAGTAATATCTTGCTCACATTGTATTATTTTACAAAGTTTTGGGTCATCTGCAAACACTGAAACATGACTTTTAATGCTGTCTTCAAGATCATTTATAAACATGTTAAATAGAAGGAGTCCCAGAACAGACCACTGAGGGACACAACTTGCCACCTCTGTCCAGATTGAAAATGTACCATTAATGACAACTCTTTGTACTCTGTTTTTAAGCCAATGTTCTACCCAAGAACAAGCATTTTCATCTAGACCGATTTCCTTGAGTTCGAACACTAATCTATTGTGTGGAACTGTATCAAAT